GCTAGAAAGCTTTGGTGCAATGTGTCCCCATACATAACCAAGAAATGACTTACATCAGTGATTAATCACTTACTCCTTTTATTATGAATTTTCTGCAGCTTCTTTCAAAGCAAACCTGTTCAGAGAAACATGACCGTGGTTGTCTTTGCCCCCAGCAAGGTTTCTTGGTTACCTGAGCACACACTGGCTGAAAGGAGTGGGTTTGAGTCTGCTTTGGCTCATTTTCATCTGAGCTATCCTGTGGAATAACTGGCCACTGTTCTACAACACCAAAGGCTGTTAAAGGAGGGGAAGCACATCTCCATCGCTGGACTTTGAAATTAATCTTTTCATTTTCTTCTTATGCAGATCCTTATGACTGGTGCTTTGAATAAAGCAGAGTATCTACAATCTCTTCAGTGGTGTAACTTTATTTGAACTCTGGTGCATTTTGAAAAAGTCAGTCTGTGAGCTGCACAGTAAAGAAATATTTTCAAGTACATCTTCAAGCAGCAGAGATAGAAACCTCTCATTTTACGGAGATACCATGTTGTCACAACTGCAGCCATTTTATAATGTAATAATTTTTCTTTCCAACCCTAAGTAATGATACTCCATTCTTCAGAATATGATGTCCGAGAATAAGAATAGTCTCAGGATCAGTTACACGATTCCCATTTATTGAAACACCTCCATCTGTAATTTTCCGGTACCTGAAAAACAAAACAGAAACAAGTATTAATTGCAAGAGAAAGCTGTTTATTAAGAACTGAAAGTTCACTTAGGGTTTGTTTGTTGTTTTTGGTTTTGGGGGGTTGGTTTTTTGTTTTGTTTTTTTTTTTTTTGGTTGGATGCGTAATTGAATACTTTTTAATACTCCTGCAATTCACTTTCAGTCCAGGTCAACAGTGACTGAAATTAACCTTAGCCACTACTACTCCAGTACTGTTTTCAGTATTACCCACGAGCACAGGTGTGAACTTACCCACTAGGTCCATCTGGAATGGCATTTGCTTTGCGGCACAAGTCAAGGACAGTCATCCCAGGTTCAAGCATCAATTCAGCAGAAGTAGCTTGTCTGAAAAGTTCCTGTAACTCTTGGTCAGACATTTCTTCCAGTGCCTCCACATTGCTGTAATAAAGGGCCTTAGTGCACCTGTGAGAAAGAACAAAGAGCATTCAAAATATAGAGCCAGTCTTCTCTTCACACAAAGTGCTACTCAATTCGCCAGATTCCCCTCCCCAGTTTCTTTTCACAGTCCACAAACTAACAGAAATACTTTAAATACCACCCCTATTTTTACTGTACCCTACTGCCCTGCAATTTTCAGTGTATTTTAAAGTCTACAGGATTATTACATTTTTCTCTTCTAACATCGAAGCAACAACTTAATAGATTAAAATAGTCCCTGAAAAGCTATGGAGAATTACCATAGAATAAATCTGAAGCAAAACTGCTTGAAAAATCAAATTTTACCTCTTAGCAGATTCCAACCCTTCTTTACCATGGACGAGCTTAGTTACTTCTGCAGCCAGTCGTTTCTGAGGACCCCATTTCTCAGGTTCTTTAGCATGCATTTCCATGATGTGGGTAATCTCCTCAAGAGGAAGGAAGGTGAATAGTTTCAGGTATCTATGAGCAGGGAAAAAATATTTTATCTATATAGCCATATTACAGATTTCCTGCCTTTGTCATTCAAACTTCAGGAACTGCACTAAAATGATTTTTAGTCAATTTAAGAAATACATACTAGGATGCTCTGTCCTTTCAATCAAATCTTTAAAACTCACATTTTACTTAATATTCTGCCTAGGGTAAACTCTTCAAGCATAAGATAGTGTCAGATGCTTTTATGAAGCTTGTAATCCAATCAAAAATTTAGTTTCCTCTTGAAACTTTTACAGGATTTATTGAAACATTTTATTGTGTCAAGTAACAGGGTTGTGTATTTATCTTAGGTGATCCACAATATGCTAATGCAAAATCCCACTGCCAGTCATGGGACAGAAGCATACTTGTGTTGGCAAGTATTTCATCAGGAAGATTATTTAGGATAATCAAGAATTTAAAGATGTATCCCTAAGCTTACTCTTTACAACAAAGTCCATTTTTATGAGGTTTCTGTCCCATGCAGTGTATTAAAAGATACCTTTACCAGTGAAAAGCCTGAATGGCTGAAATATTTTAGTGTTAAGTACCCACATACCCTTCTTTTCAGTCTGAAAGGTGTTGGGGATCAGAACATGGACTTGAATTATCAGGGGATAAACCTTTGAGAGAGGCAAGTTATGAGTTAGATCCCTGTATGAGAAGGAAGTAGCTCAGATTTCACAGTGCTGTTGATGCTTAAAGTAAAACAGATTTAGAAAAGAACATAGAGCAACTCATTAAAATTGATGTAGTAATGTAGTGTACTGAAAAAAACTGTAATGCTACAGTACTGAAACTAATATGCAACGTAAGAGAGTCAACCCACTGGCAGAACAATATGCATTATGCTTCACTCCTTTGTCATCCACCTTCTAATTTTCTGGTGCTTATTTCAGCATACGGAAGTTCCACTATCCTGTCTACTTAGGAACCAGTCATGCCTGTTAATTTCGTGAACAGTTATAATTAACACATACTTCTACATGGAGCTTGTGTTTCACATAATTGCACATAAATGAAGCCGTAACAGTGAACAGTTAGAATCGGGTTTTATAAACAATGACAAAAAGCAAGATGGAGAAAAACTTACTTTTCAACTATGTTATCTTGCTGTCTAACAAAAAACTGATACAGCTCAAATGGAGAAGTCTTATCTCTGTTCAGCCAAACTGCATTTCCAGCAGTCTTTCCCAGTTTATCGCCAGTAGTACTGGTAATAAGAGGTACAGTAATTCCAAACACATCTGTTCCTGTCATCCTGAAAAAGAAGAGTCACTGCGTGTTAAAAAAAAAATAATTATCTTGGTAAAGCTGACTAAAATACAAGCATTCTGGAAGATCCTATCCTTGATATAAAGGTGAAGGTGATAGGCAAAAGATGCCAGAACACTGCTCCGTGAAGAGGGCTTTAGATAAAAAATCAGCACCCTAAGTTTTTAAGTTCTTTTGTATGCATCAAAGACATTTATATACTTTAAGTAGCTTATATGTTATATACCACAACTGCCTCTACTTTGGTGTGATTACATCAGGATGTGTGTGCTGGCAGACTTATCTCCATTTTGTCCCATGCTTCAGTGTGTTTGATTTCGGTTCTTGGATTCATTAATACAAGAACTTATTTTTCTTAATAATTTATATAAGCCTGGTCAAAATGTATGTATATACCGAGTTTATGGTCAGGGCAATTAACTGCTCCTCTCAAATCACAGAGATTTGTCTGTGGCCAAATCTCTTAGCATCGACTTCTGCTCCTGGTGGTTTAGAGACTGTCAGCACCAAGTCACACAGCATTCTGTCATGGAATCACAGAATTGGGTGAGGTTGGACAAGACCTCCGAGATCATCGAGTCCAACCTGTGACCGAACATCACCATGACATCTAGAGCATGGCACTAAGTGCCATGTGCGCTCTTTCCTTACACACCAACAAGGTGTGTAAGCGATTCCATCCCCTCCCTGGCCAGTCCATTCCATCGCTGCCCTTCTCCGGACTTGCTCCAGCCCCTCAATGTCCTTCTGAATTGAGGGGTCCAGGACTGGACACAGAGCTCGAGGTGCGGCCTCACCATGCCCAGTACAGGGTGACAATGACAACCCCTGTCCTGCTGGCCACACTAATGCTGACATAGGTTACCCGATACCCGGACCCTGAGCATCACCTTCCCCCCGCGCTCCCGCGTACTTGGTGACGAGCTCGTATCCAGACATGATGTTTCCCATCTGGTCGTGGCCGCCCAGCTGGATGCGGCAGCCGTGGTGCTGGTGGAGGTGCAGGAAGTCGTACGCTTGCAGCGCGGGGTACAGGAATTCGGCCAGGCTCATTCCCTCGGCACTGCGGAGCCGCGCCTGGCAGCTCTGCCGGCTCAGCAGCGTGCCCATGCGGAGGCGCCCGCCCGCGCCGCCGAGGAAGCGGAGCAATGGCTCTCGCCCGAGCCAGCGGGCGTTGTCCAGCAGCGCGGCGCGGCCGAGCCGCCCGGCTCCCGGCTCCCAGAACAGCTCCCGGTGGTTCCCGAACAGCCGCTCCAGCCCCGCCCGCAGCGCCCGCGCCTGCGCGCGCACCTGCCCCGCCGGCAGCGGCTCCCGTGCGCGCTCCCGCCCGCTGGGATCCCCGAGCCGCGCCGTGGCTCCGCCCACCACGGCGATTACGTCGTGGCCCGCGCGCTGGAAGTGCAGCAGCGCCATGACGGGCAGCAGGTGCCCCACGTGCAGCGAATCCGCCGTGGGGTCGAACCCGCAGTAGGCGGCCAGCGTCGGCCGGCCCGGCTCCAGCAGCGCCGGCAGCTGCTCCTCCGCGCTCTGCGCCGGGAACACCTCCTGAAAGAGTCCTCGCTCGCACTGCGCCGCCAGCAGCCCCGCCGCGCCCCGCGCCCGCCGCGCCTGCTCGTGGGCCTGGCGGCGGGGCGGCGGCGGGAGCGGGGCCCGGCGCAGGACCCACAGCCCCACCGCCCGCCCGCAGCGCCGGCACAGCGCGGACGCCGCCATCGCGCGCGGGGCACGCCGGGACCGCCGCGGCGGGCGGGGCCGCTGCGCTGGGGCCGCCCCGGAACCGGGAGCCGGCGTGGGATGAGCGGGAGGTCTGCTCGGGAGGAACTGGGAGGGGGCGCGGGGTATTGAGGACGGCCTGAACGGCAGGACTGCGGTCATGCTTTGCGCTGGCTGGTGGTTCTTTTCCGCGACATTAAAAGATGCGACAAAGCCGGCGCGTGTTGGCTCCTCCTCCGCTGCTCTCTTCTCCACCCGGAATACCGGGATTTCAAGTGCTGTCAGGCGCTGGAAATCAGCCCTTCAGCTGGTAGTAAGGCACCTGGCAGAGCGGGTACTACGTGCCTGAGTTAGTCTAGAATTTATTAGCTATGTTTCCAGAATGCATAAGCTATATTACTAGAATGTGTTAGCTATATTACTAGACATTTTTAGCTATGTAACATGTCTGGAATGCTTGGGAAAAGGCGACTCAAACTATAGATAGGGTTGTGTAGCTGTAGGCACGTGGGTGATAAAAGGAAGACTGAGGAAACATGAGCCCTCTGCGAGGGAATGGAACAGCTGGGATATGGAGAACGCTGAGGTGTGCAATGATTTTTTTGCCTCAGTCTTCACTGGCAAGTGTGACAATTGATAAAAGATTCGTGTTAATCACAAAAGCATTGGGGTTTGCATAAACCAGAATACTAAACTCTGAAGTGAAGCATGGACACTAGATAAAGGAAATTATATGATTAAATAATTCTGTTTAAAATCACCTTGTTATGTTATGTTGTATTATTACATTATGTTATATTATGTTATGTTTTTCAAATAAGTTGTATCGGCTACCAGCTTGCAAAATCGGACTTCCCAAAAAGCCCTTCCTGCCTTTGTCTGATCAATACTGCCTATCCCAAAAACCAGGCTCCGAGAACTTCTCTGGTGGTCATCTACAAAGACCAGACCTCTAAAACTTCCCTGGTGGTCATCTACAAGGACCGGATGGCTATCTGTGACTGATTATCACCCAAAGGCTTTGTGAATTTGTGTACGAGAACCCACAGTATAAGAAGAGGCTGCAAACCAAGGTTCGGTGGAGCGTGGAGTGGGCGGTGATCCCTCGCGTTCCCCAGCGCGCTGCTTGCTCTTTCTATATCAAATAAAGCAATCTAAAATTTTGCTGAATATCGAGACTTTTGTCTCTCATTTATAACACAAGTGTTCCAAGCAGCAGAGTTGCAGAAGGAAAGGTAAGGATGAGGAGAATGAACCACCTGCTGTAGGAGAAGATGAGGTTTGAATCCTTCTAAGGAGCCTGCAGGTGCAGAAATCCATAGGACATAATGAAATGAGTCCATGTTGTCAGGAAAATTAATCCAGAAACACCAGAGGTTTATGTCCAAAAAGGAGACAGAGGAGTCCTTTTTGCTTTATTCGAATAAAGGGAGAGGCCGTGGGACATTCCCCTGGGATCTCTCAAATTTTCGGAGGACGCAGCCTCCTTTTTATCCTATTTTCCCGGCCGCATTTCCCTCTCTCTTTCCCCATTGGCTGAGGTACTTGAGAGGCACAGACTTCCCGGAACGCCTGATACTGAAATTCCCCTCTAATGTATAACCCTCCCTTTTAATTTTTAATTCTTATAGAATTCATAGTTTTCCCCCCGTTGCTTCTTTCATCTTTCGATATCCAATTTCTTTTATCAGCAGCCCTACAGTTTGTTTGTAAAGGCAAATATCTTTTTCCATTCATCAATCAGTGGAATCCATCCCATTGTTTCTTTTATCTCTCAGTGCTAGCCTTATCTACAGGCTGATCCACAACTCATTTGTAAAGACAAATTCAACATTCCTCTCAATGTGATCTGAGGGGACTGGTGGATGAAACATCTAAGCCACTTTCCATCATATTTGGGGAGCTGTGGCAGTCTGGTGAGGTTCCCACTGACTGGAAAAGGGGCTCAGTTGGTCAGAGCATGGTGCTAAAAACCTTCTTACCTTTGAGACAATGACAAGCACTTCATAGATATGGCCAAAATCTTTGCCATTCTGTGTTAGAATTAATATGTAGAGGTTATAATACAGTGAGAAGATCAATAAAAGGAAATACTCTTCAGACTTAGAGAAGGTTAGATTATTAAGTCTCCAAATAATCCAAGAAGAGAGTATCTAGTTCTGATGCACTAGATCCCAAAAAATAACCATTATCTTGTAGAGGGCCTGGTAATGTTCTCCATGCACCACTTTCACACACAGCTGAAATTCCTATTCTCTAGCACATTTAAGTGCTAGCAAAAACAATTACTATGGCAAGTTTTTACTTGGAGCAAATGGTTCAATTGCTTTGTGCTGGAAGGGGCCACTGACTTCAGATAATCCCTTGCTCTTTCTTCCCTTGTTGGCTCACAACAACCCCCTGCAATGCTACAGGCTGGGCGAAGAGTGATTAGAAAGCTGCCTGGGGAAAATCAGCCTGGGGGTGCTGTTTGAGGATGGCTGAACGTGAGCCAGCAGTGGGCCCAGGTAGCCAAGAAGGCCAATGGCACCTGGCGTATGTCAGCAATAGTGGGGCCAGCAGGACCAGGGCAGTGATTGTCCCTCTACTCAGCACTGGTGAGGCCACACCTCAAATCCTATGTCCAATTTTGGGCCCTTCATGACACAAGACAATGAGATCTGCTGGGGCATGTCCAGAGAAGAGTGATGGAGCTGGTGAAGGACCAGAAGTTTACTTCTTTGAAATCTCTGAGATCCTGTGTTATGTTTGCATCCCTCTCTTTGCAATGAACCGTTTAATTTTGTTACAGAGCTACGTTTTGCCATTTTGTTCTTTATTCATGTTTTCTGTACTTCTGCTTTCATTTCACAGGGATAGTCTGTGGCTGCTGGCATGGTGAACCACCATAAAGCTCCGCAACAGCAACATGAGCTTTAGAATCCACCTCCCCCAGCCCCTCTCTGGTAAATTCCTTGGTACTGAGATAATTGATGGTAAATGCTCTGCTTGCTCCCACTCCTTTCCAGAAGCACACCTCATACCAATACACTCTTTTCTTATTATTGCTTATTCTGTACTATAAGGGTTTTATTTCTTTATGAGGCCTAGGGGTAGGAAAAGCGCTTGTGTTGAATGTACATCTAAGAAGTAGTCATGCTTGACTCTGTGGTGTCTGCAGGCAAGAGGGTGATTATTATTTTCTGCAGTCCTTAATCCCCCTGCAGCTTTTATCTCTCAGATTAATCAGAGCATTTGAACGAGTAGTTTTCCTTTTCCTTTGATGTGGCTTGTCATCCTCCCATTTATTTGATTTCATTTGCTCTTATTTTTCAGAATATCTTTTTGTTTTCTTCTTTTTATCTTGTCATCTTTTTCAGCTGAAGAGTAACTAGTTCCCTGTTTCCTCATCTCTTTCCACCTAGGGGTATTTGGTGCTTATGTGTTCCTTTCTACTATTTCTCTTTTGTAATTGGTTGTTTAATTTTGTTTCTTTTCCATGGACCTCTTATTATGTCCTCTGACAGGTGCATAGCTGTGTTTAATTGGTCTTTGTACCTTATTGATCTTGTTTCAGATTTTAAATTTATGTCCATCTTTTAAATATCAGACCAATTAATATGGACTATGCTTTCATATTTTTCCATGTTAAATCATTTTGCTGATTTTACCATGACCCAAGGGTTTGCAGACTATGTGCTGACAGCTGCTTTTGTCCTTCACTTTAGACTCCATAGAATTTAATTTCAATACTGGATTTTTCTAATACAACCCCAAACCCAGAATCAACCATGAAAATCCTCTTTATTTTTAAAATATTGTTGTGAGAATGTTATTATTTGTGTCTTGTTAGCTTTCAGAAATTATTATTTTTTACACAGCTTTTTCAGAGATGATAGTATCCTAAATCCAGTATCTCTGCATTCTCCACAAACAGTCATGCATAGACTTAATTTTCAAATCAGATGAAAGTCTTGGGAAGAAAGTTCTGCATCTCCCATGAAATTTAAATAATTACACAATGTGTATAGGCACATGGTGTCTTTCCCCCAAAGCTTACAGGTTGGTATCACTCACTAACAAAGTATTTGCGTGTGAGAAACTGAGAAAACTTTCATGACTATTTTGCCACCCTGCCATACTGTAATGGTCAAATGATTTGTTCTGAGAACCAATCACTTAAGAGATTGGGGCAAAGCCAAGGGTGATCTCTCTTGGCTGTATAATGGGATACCAGTGATGTAACCAGGGAAAGTAGGAAGTGTTCAGGACTAAATCCCATTAGGAGACAGGCTAAGCCTAATTAGAGGAAATGTGGATGCAGTTAGAGATGATTTAGGTGCTTAGTCTTTCCATTATAAGTCATCAATCTTTATGTGTGATTGTCTTCCTATAAATCATGAAGCAATTAATTTTGACCTTGTAGGCAAATGATTTTTGCAGGCATTTTGAAAGCATTTGCACACAAGAAATCCAGAACTGATAGTAAAGGCTTAGCTTCCATTATGATAAACAAAATAGTCATGAAAGGATCATTATTTTCATGGCAATGTACTTGGAAAAATAACACAGATTAGAACAAGAAGTAACAAGAGATAATGAAAATAAGAATGTTTCTTGTTCCAATTCAGAACAGAAGGATGTTGAAGATGAATCCTTTATCCTGGCTGCCTCACCTCTGGATGATGCTGATGGAAAGGAGAAAACCATTCTGCTTTCAGAAAGTATAAAAGTAAATATGAAAGTTGAAACTCCCTCTGCTTGCCAGTGCAGGTGTATAAATTTCCAGGTGGTTTGAAGGAAATTACTTGGAGAGTTCAGGGAACTGCTATATGAAATTAAAGTAAATATAAAATGCTGACTGGTATGAAAGGCCTGGGTGGAGCCTGGGGAGCAGCCACACAGTTCTCTGATGTCTTAGGTTGCAACACAGGATGTGACCAAAAGTATGTATTCTATCACCATCTGTGGAAATCAGCAGGGGCAGTGATCCTTATCTCTGTGGGAGATATTCTCTGCTAATGGGCCATCTGATACATCCAGGTGGGGCACTCATCCTTATCTTTTCCACAACCCATCCTTCCTCCAGGAAGATATCATCTGTTAATGGGCCATTGGGTCCTACTGTATGACTGATAAAATTACATCATCCCATTAGGAAATGCTCCAGCCAGCTGAAGGAGCCAAACCTTTTTAACTAGATAAAAACTAAGATGTGGAACACCAAGGCAGCCTTTTTACACTGGATTCCAGAGGGAAAAAAAGGACCTTTCCACACCATCACTGGATCTTCAGAGGAAAACTGCACCCCTCTACAGGAGCACTGCTTCAACTGAACCACATCTGTCATCCAGGAGGACTGCAGTCACCATTTAATGGGACTGCTACCAACACCCTGACTGACAGGGTGTCAGGTTGTATTCTCTGTCAGTGGTTTTGGGTTTGTTCTTTGTAATGCTGTATTTCTATTTTAATTTTTCTTGTAAAGAACTGTTATTCCTATTTCCATATCTTTGCCTGAGAGCCCCTTAATTTCAGAATTATAATAATTTGGAGAGAGGGGGTTTACATTCTCCATTTTAAAAAGAGGCTCCTGCCTTTCAAATCAAGACATCTGGGCAGTAGTTGATGTCACTTCCAGTGGTAGGCACACCTGCACTTGTATTTTCCTCCTTGTTCTTCACTGAGCCCATGGCTCTTTTGCCCTCATATTCAAGTAGATGCAGACATAATCACAGTCAACCCTTAGATTATTGTATGATCTAATTCTCAAAGAAAGGTAACATTTCCTATAAACCACAACTCTCTATGTCCATTGAATATCAAATCACCCAGGGGCCTTGGAAACGATTAAAAAAGATTCCCAGACAGGTTACTAACTGGAATAATTTTGAAGTCACTTATTAGTGGCACCGTTGTCTTTTGTGTCCTGCCAGGCTGAGGGAGCTGACACATCTTGCATGAGGTATTCGCTTAAGTTTCCACTTCATGCCTGAGTTTTCACCCAGTATTTGATTCATATTGTTCCTTCAGAGAAGATCCTCATTCCAATGCAAAGTATCATTATTAAATGTAACTCAGTTTAAAACTCTGTTTCAGTTTATGCCAGCATTTTCCTCCTTCTTATGCAATAGAAGGAATTTCTGATCCGCTCTCCTGGTAGTGAAGCCAAGTTATACGTGCATCAGCCACGAGGTGGCAATACAAGGACTTGATACGCTGAATTTTGGTGGTCTTCATAGCATTCACACCGGGTAAGCTTTGGGGTATTAGCTAAGAAAATATATTTACAGTATTTCTGCAGAGTTTGGCTTTATCTGCCAGTGCATAATACGTACTCCACATCTGCATAATTGACTTCATGCAAAAGCCAAGGGAGACTAAGCTGATTTTCTGGATCAATGATTGAAGCCTTTTATGTGGCTAATAATTGATATCTTTATTTAAGTGGCTTGGTGTGGATGAGAGATGTTATGCAAGGAACTCAGCTGCCATTAAAAGCAAAATATCTTAAGGAAGGGGATGCACTGGTAACAGTTACCTACAGTTAGTGGTAACAGTAATATACACCTGTCCCACTGTGAGTTTTATCAGCTTTAACTTCTGACCTTCATGAAGGCCAAGGAAACCTGAACACCTTACATGTGTGGAATTCCCAGATGTGATTGTTTGACAACATTAAAATCTGCCTTTTAATCCAGGTTTTTGATTCACTTCTCAGCATGGCTGATGCTTGTTTTTCTGCCTTATAAGAGCATTCAACACTGGTGTTAGGTGGAAATAGTTAATTTCCAGTCTTTTTCATCCTTTGTTTCATTTTCAGGCATTAGGGAAAGTAATAATATCCTGTACTTTCAAGGACTAGTTTTCCACCCACTGTAATGGAGAAAGTATTTTAAGACATTTTCTATTTTGACATTAGCTCTTTCAGTAGCAGTCAGTGCTACAGCTTTTCAGAAGGTGGAGTTCTCTGTTTTCTCCTTCAGACTAAAAAGCTTCTAGCATAAGAAATGGATTGCAGACTTGACAGATGTCTCATGTCACTATATTCACCACAGTGTTTATTTGAACATAGAGAAATTACAGATGTGCATTTTGTTATTTCACATGAATGTACCAACAGCCTGCTATTTTTTCCTGACATGGAAACAGTTTTCTTCTGAGTACTTTATGGGAAATCTTACTTTCCATCAGACAATGCACTGTGAAGTCTGTTAGCAAATATGTCTTCCCCGTACATGTAAGTTTGTGGTTTAATAAATAAATAGCAATGTAAGGAAAGGAACAGAGTAGGAAGCCTTGAAAGAGTAAATAACTTTGAGACGGGAACTTCCCTAAGAAAGATTTGAGACACAATTCTACCTGTGAGTTGGGTGTTTAGTCTGTCAGAAGTGCTGTGGAAGAGGTGCTGGGACTGCCTTGCATTTCAAATAACACAAAGCTCTTCTGCACAGCCAATGATGGCCCCTCTCAGTTTCGATACTTTGCTGGACCAGGGGCACTGGCACACGTGTGCCCTTGTCCCCCCAGAATTCAAGATTCACAGCTATTAAAGCTTGAAGAAAACTGATTTGACTGATTTACCCTCTGCACCATGATGACCACGGGATTTAACAGTTGACAGAAATTGCAGAAAGGGAGACCTGTATTTGGCAGGAACAGATACACCACAGACCAGGTGCCTTTCAAAAGGCTCTCTAACCCTATCTCTTAACATCAAGCGGCCTGCTTAGACAGTTGATAAATAAACTTTTTCTTTAAAGCTGATAACGACAGATTTCTCCTGAGAAAACATGCAGGATCCCCAAAGCCTCTTCTCTTTCTTGAGGTTGTTTGCATGCACGTTTCAGCTTTCTTGCTCAGATACTGCACAGCCTCAGGCCACGCTCTTGGCAGGTTACATAAGAAAAACCTTTGAGAATCTGGCTGGCAGTTGAAGAAATGTGAGCTTTGGGATGTGATGATTGAGGAACTGGATGGCTACTGCTTTTCCCTTGCAGCTTTCTCCAGTTATAATCACCAGCTTGTGGGCAAGATGCTGGGCCTAGAGCCCAATGGGAGCCATTTTTCAGGGATAACAGGTAACTGGTTGTACCAGCAGAAGGATAACTCGGCTCAGTATTGAGTTGATAGGATAGTATTTCTGTCCACTTAAGTTGTTCTGTGGTGTCAAATGATGAAGGCATTTTCACACTTTTATCAATCCATGGGTTTTGGACATTACCCTGACAACTATGTACAGAAGAGCATGTGCCTTTGGGAAGGGAGAATTTGAAAGGGAAAAGCAGAACAGAATGTGACCACTAACCTGAAAGTACAGTGCTAAAGAGAGAGACTACACACCATATATTTTTTTTCCAGTAAAACAAATTATGACAGCACTGTGTCTGCTCTTATCATGTAGTTTTTTTTTCTTGTGTTTAGCCTGAAATGGATACTGAGCATTTGTTGTGTTGGTCATTTCTGATTCAAGCTGTTTAGTATATATTTTAGCCAAAGAGAAGGAACCTGATGACCACTTAAGCAAGACATGAAACGATGTTCCCTGGCATAGACAACACTGTCAGCGTTCATTCTGGGTTGGTGGTAATTTTCCATATATATAGCTCCTTTTGGGAAAGGGAATTAAATCTTGAAATCAGAGAATAAAGTCTAAGAAACACTCCAGAAAGGAGATATGATACATGAAAATGAAATTTATAAAAAACCAGAAAATTTGGAAATGGAGTGACTACAACCAAATGGACTAGGATGGAATAAGGGCCCATAAAGTGGACCTAAACTTTGCAAATTTAATCCAATTAAAATTCCAACATTGGGAAATAAGGAATAAGGAAAGGTATTGCAGTTGTCAAGACGGACACAACTGGCACCATCACCAGTCCCCTATTAGAAACTTCTCACATCTTCTCTCAGGCAGCTCCACATGGCACTGACTCCTTCCCTCTGCAGAAGTTTCCTTCTTCATGACTGCCTAAACCCCAACCTGTCCCTTACCTAGCCACCCAACTCTGTCACTCACACAGCATATTCTTACCTTGTCTGTCTCTTGCACGACTGTATGTCCCTTCCTCCTCACAACATAGCCAGAAGCCCCCATCTCAAACTGCAGCAGACTCTGAATCTCAAAGTTCAACTGCAACCCACTCTCACTAGCTAGCCCACTCTTTTATAACACCCAACTTCATTGGGCAGGCAAGGCTGTTTCCACTTCTCGGCAATGAGGAAAATTGCCTTCTGCACTATCCTTACAAACTACAAACTTACTTACAAAGAATGAAGAGAAGACTTCCTTTTGAGTGAGAAGAAAGTTTCCTTCATTCAGGAGAGGGAAAGAAATCCTATTATTTGAATGAGGGTTATTTGGGCAAGTTTCGGTCCAGTTCCCTGCACTTTTTGTCATCCCATTCACTTTTAGTGTTTTCACTTGGTTTCGGAATTTCTCCTTTTTTCTTTTAGCATTTCATTTCTTTTGCAATTTTCAACACTATTTGTTTACTTTTCTTCCATGATTTCAGGATTTTATTTGGAGTAATTTTTTCAAGTTATGCTCCTTTAAACTGCCCCTCATTTCATCCAAGTATATTTTGTTATATTTACTTGAGTTCCTTATTTTCTAGGTTTTTTTCTATTGAATTTTTTTTTTTTCATATCTCCTTTCCAGCGTGTTTATTAGACTTCGTCCTCTGATTTCAAGATTTCCTGAAAGGAAATCCTTCCTTTCATGAAAGAGAAGTAAATCTTGTGAATTCAGGAT